AAAACTTTGGGCTTAGTAGAAATTCCACTTCAGTTGCAGTTCCTGCAAACAAATTCTTGTTGCAGAGTTTTCCCTCGATATCCTGTTGCCTGTTGCTCTAGAAAATTACATCAACTTCTTCACTCTCTGCTTTTCGCTATGTTTCTCCCTCTCTCTCTCTCTCTCTCTCTCTCTCTCTCTCTTTCCTGCGTGCCATGCGCCACAAATTAAATATAATTTAATTGTGATTAAATGGCGCTCTCTGGGCAATTATGCTTTAACATTATTGTTGATCAAGTTATTTCTTTGCTCAAGTGACGTCTCGGCTCTGCGGCTGGCTCCTCCACTGACTGCTTCAGTGAGTTCTCTAGTGGCTTCCCTGGCTGTGTCTCGGATGTCTTCCACTGTCTCTCTGTCTCTAATTTACTTTGCCAATTGTCTGTCATTTCATTCGTTTGTGTCTCTGTCTGCTGCTGTCTGTTTTTCATTGCACCTTCTCGCATTTTCCAGTGTTTTCTTGGTGCCTCTCTTCCCTGCCGTACGCCCGGACTCCCCTCTGGAATCTATCTTTTCGCTAGAACTTCGTTCCCCGTTCTCTAATCTCTTGGCATTTCCTTCTGCTAATCCCATTGCTCATTTCTTGGTAATTGTCAACACGCTAATTGCAACGATGCCAAAGTGCGAACAATGCATAGACTGACATCCCATCCGTCCAATGAGCGATGGAATAATGCACCCGACATGCACTGCCGTCATTTGATGGATGAGAGAGCCATGGCCAAGTGCTGCCTCTGGCCAGCTATCTATTGCTGGTGCTGGTGCTAGTGCTGCCACTGCCGTTGCAACCCCAGGCAGTGCCACCGCGACCTTGGTGCTGCTACATCTACTTTTCCGACTACCACTTTCTCCTCCCACTGGCAAAAGTGCCGCGTTTTGGTGGCATCTTAAGAGGCTGTTGCTGCTGCTGCTGCTGCATCCTGCTGTATCCCTCTCGACTGTGGCTTCCTCTTGGCTCTTGGCTCTTTTTGTAAACTGGTTAAAATGGGGCGTAACTAATAGATTGACATCGTTATACTACAGGTTCTTCTACCTCTTCTGTTGCCTCGCTTTTATCGCTTTTCGATGGTGCCACCCCCTGGCCTGGCCTCCCGCTTCTATTGGCAGACTGGTGGACTGGTGGCTGGTTCTGGTGGTAAAAGTAGGTTGAATTTAATCCACTTTCATTGCTTAATAATGCGTGGCTTGGCTTGGTGTGTCCACCACCATTCTCCATGCTCCTCCATTCCCTCCTTCAGTGTGACTGTCCAACTTTTGAGTGTTGTGGCATGACTTTTGACATAGGGTATAGAGGAAATGGCAAACACTTTTATGGTTTATTTTGGTTGTGGATTCACTGGAGGGAAGAGTGCCCACACTAAGAACTGGGGGGGGGGGAATGTGACTCAAATGTTAGATACAGCCACAAAATGTGACTTGATTTTGATATTCCAATAAGAGAAGGAACTTCCTTCACTCTCTGCTTCGGGGGGATTTGGGTCTGGCCATAACTGAATTATAGAGCAGACACCCCCAACCTCCGCCAATGTCTGATGTATGCATTATTCAACGGCTTCCTTCTACCCAAGCAAAAAGGTTTCCCATGGACATCAATCATACGCCACGTATGGCACGTATCCTGCATATTAATAAACACAATTATTGGCATTAAATCAGGCAGTAATGAAACATCAGCTGTCGCATCGCATCGCATCACAAACACACATGACAGATGCATGAGGCAAAACAAAAAGAGAGGAAGTTCCACACAGTGGAATAATCTGTGGAATTATTAATTAATTAATTAACTAGCGACTGCTGGACAATGGCAATGTCATTTAAATAACAAGATTTTCCATGTAAAATTTACAACTTTTCATGCTCTGTTAGGGTAGCTTAGGGTATATATTATCTATCTATCTATTCACCAAAAAAAAATCATAGAAATCGGTTGATCAATAAGAATGGAATAAAATAATACAAATAAAATAAAATCAATCATGTATTTACCCATTAGTGGGTAGCTCTTAGTCGTATTCCCATACCTTAACCACTTGGCTTCCTCCTTCTACAACTCCCGCTCTCCTCTCTCTCTCTCTCTTCTCTCGTTCTCTGTGGATTTTTGTTGTGCTTTTTTTTTTGCATCATAAATGTTCAACCAACAGCAAGAGACAGATAACGACAGACAACAAAACGAAACAAGTTGCCGCATTTGGCCATGACTCTGCAACCCTCCCCCTCTTTTGTGGGTGGGAGTTCAATAAATGTACATTGTGTACGTATACAAATTGTAGGGGGTGTAATAATGGAACGCCAGAGGAGAGGAGAGTGCAACACTCATTACGGAAATGAGCGGGCGTCCAAGAACCTGAATAGCAATCAGCGATAGAGCTGTTTTTGTTGTTGTTGTTGCAAAGTGCGATACAACTGTGATACAAACAACAACAACAACAAAAACAATAATTTTAGCTAATAAATCAAGATGCAGCACAGAGAGACAGACGCCCAGACGATGTCTCGCTGCCGCTTGTCTTTACTGCCTGATTCTGCTTTCAATTTGTCGCCCAGTGCCGCACACAAGTGGCAGGAAGTTTTTCTCTCTGCCCTCTCTCTCTCACTCTCTCTCTTTCTCTTTTGTACTATCCACACGGCATAGCGGAAGTGTTTTCTTTCCTTTTGAGCTGCTGCTAAGAGAAATGAGAACTCAATTGGATTACAGAATACTTTCGGATGGATGGCTGGATGGCAGATGTAACTGAAAGATGTGGAATATTGAATAGAAATGGAATGAATAAAAGCGCCAATCTTGAGGAAGCAGGCGAAGAAGAACGGCAGGGCACGGGCGAATGCCTTAGGGGTGCCACGTGGCTGCTGTACTAAAAGATTACGCATACGCCGCAATGGCCGCCCTTGACTTTGCCATCAAAATTGATGGAATAATTGGCGTGGAAAAGCTTCCATGTGTGGCACACACATGCAAAATGCCAGTCAAAAGGCAGGTCAAAGTTCAAGCCCCTCCACTAACGCTTGACATTTGACATATGCCACAAAACAGCCTCTGCCCCACATGTCAGAATAAACTGCAGAAAATGTGGGCCTGGTAGGTTGGCTCGATTGCTCGATGCTTTGTGTTTTGTTACGGGCTTTTGGCTGCCAATTTTCGTTTTCTGTGTTGGCTAAATACAGAGCAATGTATCTTTGTATGGGTTCCCCATTCGATGGATGGAATATTAGACATCCCACATCCCCAGCCACACTCGCCGAAAGAGCAGAAGAGTAGCTGCCCCACCAATTATGGCACGCACTCATTAGTGTGTCTCTCTCTCTCTCTCTATGCCACCCCAACCCCCACGCTGCTCCACCTGGTGGCATCGTTTACCGTTGTCCAACCTCATAAACCAGATAATGCCACTGCTGCCACTCTTGCCGCAATTCTGTTGCTGTTGCTGTTGCCGTTGCTGATTCAGTCTCTGGTTCTGGTTCTGGGGATGCACTTCTCCTTCTCTTCTACTGTCCACTGCCCGACTGCCTGCCTGCCTGTCTGCCGTTTAATGAGCTTTGTTTCGTATCGTAGTTGATGCCTATTTTTACCCCCATGAATGTGAAGCCACTGGCAGTGGCCCCAGCCTTCTGCTGCTGCATGATCAATTTGGATTTGTATTCGGATTCAATGGGATTGCTGCTGCTGTTGCAGTTGCTGCTTCTGCTGCTACTTCTGCTGCTGATGGCTTGGTGACATGCTCTACCATCTGCTGGCGTTCATGCTGCACTGCTGCTGCCGCAGAAGAGTACGCTACCGTGAACAGTGGAATAAATAGAGTAGACTGAGAGACAGATCTATTTGAGTTTTTTTTTAAATGCAGCAATCGAATTGTATGAGATGTTTTCTTCATTCGTTCACTTTAGTCAACAGAAAATTACACTATATCTTATTTGCAACTAAATACCCCACCCCCCTAAATCGTTTCCACTGTGCCAACTGCAACAGACCAATCCATCGCTCTGATGGGACTGTGGCTGCTGCTGCTGCTGCTGCTGATTGCTGCCTCTGCTGTCTGCCACTCAACACATGCTTTTGCCACCAACAGCTGAGAGCAAAGTATCTGGCCCCCCCTCTCTCTCTCTCTCTCTCTTTCTCTCGCTCCCTCTCTCACTTCCCTCTCTGTGGAGTCTGCTTGATTTTTCTTCGTCTTAGTTTTTCACGCCTTGTGGCATACGGTATACCGTTGCAGCAGCATCAGCATCAGCAGCACGTTTTCCCGCTTTGTTTTGGCTATTTTGTTTTGGTTTTTAGCTTCTTCAACGCACAGATACAGATGCCGATACATGCTCACATAGATACGCGCAGAGAGCGCACACACACACAGACCCAGGCACAGACACTCGAAGAAACAACAGTCGCTAAGGCAGGGTATATGGAATGGATGGGTAAGGGAGGGCATGTCTCTATTTTGGCTAGAAAATAGATCCATTGATTCACTGGATTGTATGACCAAAATGCTAGAAAACACTCATATATTCACACTTATTCACACACATTCACACATATTCACACTTATTCACACTTGTTCACACTTATTCACACTTGTTCACACTTATTCAGACATATTCACACTTATTCAAACGTATTCACACTTATTCACACTTATTCACATCTATTCACATGCCTTATTGGAATATTTTGAATCGTTTGAAGAGAGATATCTCTCTTCCCCCAAATCGAAATACCTGATGTCTCTTGGGCCCCACCTTTCCTACTGCCATACCCTGCTCTTTCTCGGTTTTTGTTTTAATTCTTTTGCTTCGCAGCCCACAAGATAACAGAATGAGTACAATGAGTAGCTGCCGTTGAACACACAGACACACAGAAATGGCTACAGCTACAGATACACGCGTACAGACAGCAGCAGCAGCAGCAGTCTGCGTCCGCGGGCATGGCCGGCCTGAGTTCTAGATACATTTCGTATCTCGTCTAGCGCTCAGTCGCAAAAACGCTTAACGCCGAAACGGAACGACAAAAGCCAACGGCAGGCGACAGTGGCGCGACAAAAGCTACAAAACGACGCAAAATTACACAAAAAAAAAATAAATATAAATATAAAAATAAAATAAAAGATATTATTATACACGGGTACGAGTGAACAACTGTGCAGCAGCAGGAACATCAGCAATAGCAGACGACACGTCGTCGAGTGTATGTGGTGTCTGTGTGTCGCGTGAAAAGCGCTTTTCTATTTCAAGCCTCAAGTGCAGGCCCCCAAGAAGTGTCTGACTGCCTCTGCCTCGGCCTCTCTCTGAGGTTTTTGGTTGCAGCTTAAAATCCTACGACAAGAAAAATAAACACTTGACGCGGTTGTGTGTGTGTCTGAGTAAATAAGAAAATTTACAAGACAATACGAAAATTCGCACTAAAAATCAAGCAAAAAAAAAATTAAATAAAATATACTGTAGAGCGATCTACTGTTGAGATACAATAATGCTGGCCATCAAGGAGTGCCTGATACGCGAAGGTGTCTTAAATTTAGATAGCCATAGCCGTAACCATAACCCCATCGGGGGATACCAGCAGCGATACCATCAGCCGCAAATTCAGATGCAATACCAGCTGCATGGCAGCAAAAGCAGCAGCAATATGGATATGCCCCGATACTGCAGTTAGTATTTTGTATACATGTATAAGAAAGGCCAGCAACAAGAGTGTAGGCCAAAAAGATTGTTAGACATGAAGCGAAACATGAGTACAAGCCATAGATAGCGCCATTGAATGAATATCTCTAGCTGTATCTTTGTTTTGTGATATCTTGTGTGCCAGAGAGATAACTATTTTTACAAAAAAAAAGAATGAAATATATTTTATGCACTGATATTTAAGCTCTAGAAGCTACTTTAATCTATGGTCGCTACCTGTAATCGGATTTTGGCCCCTCAAAAGATACAATTTACCCCCACCTAAAAATGTGAATTATTTTTAGATGGTGGCGTCGCTATCTGTGGTATTTCCAATAAAATAAATTCTTTATTTCTTGCCCATTCTGGATTATTGTTTAATAACTTTTGATGAGTGTTTCCAATGGGGGCTTTTGCTGACTTTTTATTGGTATTGTTGTTGTTATTTGATCGACAAAAACTTATGAATAGAGCACAGGTGGCGCGCAACAATCTTTCTATAAACTAAAGATAAAGCTTCGTAGTTCTGCCTCTGCCGCTTAGTCGCAGTTGGTGGGGCATGCGGCATGCCACCTTTTGTCTTTCTGTTGTAGGTTCTTTTATTTCCATTTGATTGTTTTTAGATACAAGATACAAATGTATTTCTTAGCGGCCCCAAAACGAATCTCTGGCACCGGCACTGGCACTGCCTCTAAGTCCATTCGATGTATTGTCTTCCCATTTCATTTCCATTGTAAAGGGCTTAAGTGCTAAATAGATGGACGGACAAATGACCCACGAATCGAATGGACTGGACTGGCCAACCTGCTTGTAAAGTTTTACCCCAAATCAAAGGTCACATTTGTATGCAAAGCAGGGGCAATCACAGTGAGAGGAAGGGGAGACAGGGGATGGGATTAATGCTGATGACAATCAATAAAATAATTTACACTCTTTTTCGGAGGCAATTAAATTAAGACTTACGTTTGATTTATGGTAGGATGGGCTGCTAAATCTAGTTGATAAATTACTATGAAATTGGGCATTAGATGCCGGTTTGGGCGATGGAAATGACCTTTGCAACTGGTGGGCTATCGCTGGATTAAATATTCCTAAAGAATCCTCATTTTTTGTGGCGTTAGGGCCATCATTTCGAGCAAAATCTTAACTAATTTTTATACAATAATAATTTTTGTTTTAAGAATTTTCAATGGCCATTCTGTAGGGCAGGGTTTTCCTGAGGTATTTTTCTTGCGTAAATTTAAAATATATGAAACGCAGATATTTAACCCATAAAACATTTTAGTGAAATTTTTGGCTTACGAAAAAACACCAAAAAAGAATTTAGATTTTGAAAATCTTTAAGCTATTAAGAAATTGAAGCGCCCAATAAGCTGCATAGAGTTTAAGCACTCGTAAGATTTTATTGTATCAGAAGAGCGTTTAATATCCTCTTAGTTTACTATCCTCCTTCTTGAGTTTCAAGCGCATTTCCCGCATGATATCCGCTTATCCCCGCCCACACAACACACAAGAGAACAGCAGCATCGGGCGTCGGATGAACTCCACTTGACCCAATTTCCTTTACTGCTGCAGCAATCACACCCACAGACTGCTCCGCCCACACACACACACACACACACACATCCATCAACCATCAGCCATCATCAGCAGCTTCCCAGGTTTTATTTCCCGATTGCCTTCCCTCCCCAACCGAAAACAAGAAATTACACAATTTTTTGATGCTTCTGTTTTGGAAATTGCCCAAGAATTTCACTCTTTGTCTCTCTCGTTTGGGAAAACCCATTCAAAAGTTTGCCATTTTATGGATGAATGTCGTCGCTGAGCGGCTCCTCAGCTGCCAGATGATAATTAAAAGTGTGTTTATTGCATGTGAAACGAAAACAAAGTTAAGTAAATGGTGCTTCCCCGCGAAAGAACCAAGTAACATAAAGTACAGGTTCCCCCCAAAAAAAAGAAAAGATCAGTCTGAGTGCCACAGTTTCTCGCGTCTGCCATGAGACGTGGCGTGGGCAGCAGCGTGCCCTTGCATTTAAAAATAATACTTACAGAACAACGTTGCAACATTGCTGCCTGCCTGCTTGCCTGCCTGCCTGCCTGCCGCACAATCACCTACCCAACCCTACCTCTTTCAACTTCTCCTCCACTTTTGCTGGCGCTGCCCGCTGCCTGCTGCTTGCACCCTGCCACTTCTGCGGCTGTTGCAAGCTGTAAACAACGAAACGGCAGGCACTTTTGTAAAATGCAGTGTTTTTTTCCTTCAATATTGATTCAAACTTTTGCCAGTTTTTTTTTGAATGCGAGTACGTGTATACCCTTGAAGAGGGATGCCAGACGATTGAAACACACACAGAAGAGAGTGTTTTTCAATATTCTTCTACAAAAAAATATATACAAAAATTACTGAAATTGTATATGTAAAATAGATAGCTATAGGACAGAAAAGGTTGTTTGAAAACACCTACGAAAACTGACCCAGGCAGATAATCGCAACAGTCTGTACCAATCTATCCAGCCCAATTGTATCTTGGATTTGTTTAGCTGCAACCCTCGCAAATCGAAGAACTATATCATATATAGTAGAATGTAAAGGGTAACCTCAAAGCTTAAAGCCTAAAAGAAAAGCCTATCTTTTGTTGCTTTCCTTGTTTCGCTGTTGTAGCTGGCGCTCATTGGCTTTTCCTCGTTTCGTGTCGTGTTTTCGCCTTAACAATATGATATTTCAGGCAGCAAGTTTAAGCCTTGCCCGCCGTCTCTCTCTCTCTCTTTTATGTGTCTTATTAATTATGCAACCTGTGGGGGACTGAAGCCACAGCCAGAGACCAAGAGCCAATCGATCAATCAGCCACAGAGAAACAGAAGCGGCTTCAGCGGCAGCAAACGAAGCCGCAAAAATGCTGTAGTTTCTGTGTTGTGCAGTTGCAATTGTTATTGCACTTTAGTTACAACTCCTTTGCCGCGTGCCCCCTGTGCTCCACCGCACACTCAATAATTATGTAGTTAGAGCGAGCTCCTGCCCCGTTTCGGCCCCCTGCAAAGGAAAGGAAATCTTTTGGCAAAGATCTTTTTACAAATCGTTTTTTTTTTTTTCTCGTAAGGCAAATTGCCAAGCAGTCGGCGGTTTATTTAGTTTGGATTTTTGCCATCTAATGCAGATACGTAGATGCATAGATACTATATGCACAGATACAGATGCACATACAGATCCCACGCTGCTGACCGGCAAAGAATTTTCATTTCAGTTTATGACCAAAATATAGCCATTCAAAAATATTACACAAAATGCATTTTCCGCCTGCAAATATTCGTATCTGCCTTTTCGTTTTTTGTTTTTTTTTTTGTGAATTTTTGGCATTTTACACATTTTATCAGAAATTGAAACCCTACGCAAAGCAAGCGATTTTCATCATGAAATGCACTTTTCCAGCACAAAAACCTTTATTTGTTTACAATTATTTTCATGTGTGTTTCCGGCAGAAAGAAGAGTTTTTTGTTTCTGTATCGTTTTGAGTTCAATGTTTGTTTTACGATACAGGAAATATTTTCCACAATTTATGCAATTTTTCCGTGAAAATTCTTACTTCCATTCACTTGCTATTTTAACTAGAATCTATTCAGAATGTATTTGCATCTTTGTGAGACATTTTTTCTTTCTGATTGAACAAAGTATTTATAGAATTGTATGCCTCATGTGCAAAAAGCACGTGCCTCATGCCGCCCTCATCGCCCACAGCAGATTTGCTATGTTCTTTTTGTGGTTTTTTTTTTTCGGCAAATTTCTATTGAATTTTCGGCCAATTATTTGTCGTATCTTCGATTCTCGCACTGATGGACATTTACTGTGAATGTTAACAAATAAAATCTCATGCAATTTCATTGAACAACAATTTACAGTTCGATTCATTAGAGAGCCATTAGAGAACCAAGAAAACAACCCATTGAATCAATTAAGAAAACCAAAAAAAAAATAAAATAAAATAAAAAAATGTAGAGAAGAAAGAATCCCAAAAAGAACAAACATGTTGAGGGGCTCCACTGGCGCTTGCTCTTCTTAATTTTAATTGCTTTAAAGTCTGCCTGTCTGTTCTTTCGAGAGCGCGTGGGTTGATGATGGTATGACCCCGAAGGCAGACACAGACACAGAGACAGAGACAAGCCCTTTAACTGATGATTGGAATTAGTGGGAGAGATATACTCGTATGTATATTCTATATTGAGTGTGGCAGAGGGTGAGGTAGTTCCTGGACCGTGTGCGTGTTGGCTGTTTATAAAATTAAAACAATGACAAATGCTCGCTCGCCCCCACAGCCCCCAACAGACTGTGGTTTGAGTACTCGATTACTCCACTCTTTGCATTGCTTTTTGCATCTCTAATTGAATAAAACATGCTTCTGTCTGCAGTTTTGTTTTTTTTGAAGATTTTGCAAGGTTTTTTTTCTGGCTTTAAACTTTGATGTGGAGAGTTTTAAGTTAAGTTAAGTTTCCATTACGTTTCAAACGTTTTTCCCAGTTGATTCAATTGCATTTCTATAACATTTTGCCGATCTACAAATTGACTTTTGTTTTGTTTGTGTTTGCTCTTCAACTCACAAGATACATATTATATATGAGACATATATGATAAGATATGGATATATATACTAGGAAACTGGGACTTCTATTTGCCGTTCTCGTTGATGTGCTAACTGTCTAAATATTTGATATTTCACTGGTCGTTCGTAATTGATCGACAAATATTGAATGTGTATCCCAAGAGATTCACATAGACAGAGAGTACGTAAAGATCTGTTGCTCTCTTCTCTTATTTATCTGTTAATTGCATTTACAGATTTATTTTTTCGTTACCGCCCCGCCATCTGTCATCATAAATTAGATACAATAAATTCATTGAGATTTTGCACATTTGTTTAACATTTGGCCAACAACAGCACAACAACAACAGCAGCGAAAAAGATGGATGGAAATTCACGTATATTTTTCACAAAATTCCATTTCGTCTTTTGGCATATGAAATTTTTGCGCATTAGCCTGTCAAAAATATAAAATTGTTTATGATTATATTTCGGAATTACTTTGTGAATTTTCTGTAACCAAAAAAGAAAATGAACCAAGAAAAGATACCTTGCTTTTCTTTTAGGCACTTAGAGATCTATGGCACATGTAACGAACACATGGATGATCTTATGGCAGCTATGGGGATATGATATAGTGCTCCGACTTTGATCAACTTTTACTGATTTGTGCCGAAACGTATTATAATGAAATATATGACTTTTGGTAGGGTTTGCTTTGGGAAAAGTTAAAAGTTGCATGCAAAAAATCCCAAAAAAATAAGTTTATGGTAATGGAAATGGTACGGATATTGTTTCCGATCATGAATCTATATAATCTTTATGATATATACATATGTACTTGATGGGGAACCAATATCAGAGCAGCAGGAATATATTCTAGTTCAGGAATTTATGATAAATTATATTGAATTATATATGTATAATTAAAATATATACAGATACTGCTTTGAGAATGCATCCTTAGCGTAAAGGTATCTCTCTGAGTTTGATGAAAACTACATGTAAGGAAATGCAGTGAAAAAAGCTGTGAAAATCCGCTTTTGCGACTCGTTCTCGTATGATTAATTGGGCTTCTGGGGGGTGGGGTTGCTGCCTGTTCTCTCTCACCCTAGAGAGCATAACTAATCGCTGCGCTGGTGGCCTCTGTCAAATGAGATTTGCATTTACATTACAGTCAGCGCCAAAAGTGTATGGCCACCCAAAAAAAAAAGAAAGAGATGAAAAACGAAGAGTAAAAGTCAAGCACTCATTGCCACAGCAGATGCTTCGCTGCGAGTACTCGTAGGATGCTATAAAAAGCGGGCAACCCTCACCTCACCTTGACATCATTGTGGGTGGAATGTAGGGGGTTTGGGAGGTGGGTGGGATAGATGTAGTTGCATGCTACAGAACGAATAGGTGTATGAAACGGGTGCACAGGTGCAAGATTTAATTGCTGCCAAGATTTTTCCTTCTCCTCTTATTTTTTTTTTGCCATGCAGCACAAAAAGTGAATTAGAAAAGCAAAGAAAAACGTTCCCATGTGTGTGTATGTGTGCTTTGGCAAAGGGGAAGGGAAGGGAAGAAAAAATCTCGCATTAATTTTCATTTACTCAAAGTTTTTCCTTCTTATTTTTTTTTTTTTTGCAGAAACCATTGCGGCCTCAAGTGACTTATCCACAGCCCCAGCCACTGCCAAAACAAGCTGCCACAAGCCACAAGAAAAGTCGCAGACGCAGATTTTGCCTTCGCCTGCTTCTGCTGCGACCAAAGGAAGAGTCTCTGAGGATTCCAGTGGCGCCTCAAAATCTAGTGGATATCGGGGACAGCATCCGCACTTTCATCATCATACAACGCCCGCGTACTACACCGATCTGCAGCTAAGGATTCACACGCCACAGGCCACGGATGTGGGTGCCTTGAATGAGAATTATCAGAGTGTTTATGCAACGCCCAGCTGCAACACACAGCTGGTGGAGCAGCGTAGATCGTTTCCCAAGAGTGCAACAGCAACGGCAACGGCAACGGCAACGACACCGACAACGGCAACACGTGCCACGTTTTTTCGTGGCGACGCTGCATCGACACAAGACGCCACAAGACGCCGCCAGCGGCCGGGCAGCGAGGGCGGCAGTCGTTACTTCAAATTCTCACCGGGATCTGTGAGCCCTACAAAAGGTGAAGAAACGAGCAGCCATCCCTTGAGTCAGTCCCCCACAATCATCAGCCCCAGCCACAGCACCACACGTACACGCACCACCAATAGAAATAGTTGTAGTAATCCACCCGTAGAGACAGCTAGTCCTGTTCCTGTTCCTCTTTGTGCTCCTGCTCCTGCACCAACCGTAGTGAATGCCACAACAACTGGTGGAGGCCGCAACAGTCGCCACAAGCAGCGGTTCCATCAGCGTTCAAAGCGGGCGGTGCGCGTGCGCAGCGAATCCCGTCCCATCAGCGCCCTATACGATATAATATGCAAGGAGAAGAATCAGGACGAAGGCGACAGCACCACCAGCAGCAGCAGCAGCGGCAGCAACAGCAGCGGCAACAGCAGCAGCAACGAGAGGAAGAAGGAGCAACAACAGGAGGACAAGGACCCAATAACCGACAAGCTGGCGACCTTTTGGCCTTTGCATCATCGCTTCCACTCCACTCCCCCACAATCAATGCAGAAGGAGCTGCCCCTGGGTGGCGCCACCACTGCCACTGCCACTAGTCTCACCCCAAGGCGTGGCGGCGTCGGGCAGCCGGAGAGCAGCAGCAGCACGGACTCGTTGCATGCCCTGCACTCTAGTCACAAATGCATGAATCTGGTGGCCGCCAAGGCCGCATCGCTGCCGCCTCAGCCGGCACGACGCGTGGCACCACCTGCGCCAGTGCCAGTGTCGCATCATCAGCGTTTGGCCAGGAGCCTGGAGCCCTCGGCCAAAACGACAGCACCACCTCCGTCGGCGGACGTGAGGAACTACAATGCGGGCAGACCCGTCAGCACGGAACGGCTGTTCGTGGAGCCACCAAAAGTCTCTGGGCAGGCAGTGCAGGATTTCAAGCGTCGCTTGATCAATCAGGGGGATGGACAGGAGGATGGCGAGCCTTCGCAGGAGCAGCAATTCGATCAGGGCGAGGTCTTTGATACCCTCGCACGCTGGCAGCAGGAGCTGACGTCTGCGGGCGACAAGATTCAGCTGGTGAATGGTGCCACAGATGCAGCCACAGTCAATGGCCATCATGATCTTCACGAGCATCATCATCACCTCCATCTAGAACACGATCATCCGTCGAACATTCATCAACAATCATTGCCATCAGTAGAACCAACTGTGACCATACCCAAGCATCAGAATCAGCATCCGCATCAGTCGTCTCCTCAACATCAGCACCCGCACCAGGCCACCAATGCACGAAGGTAAGCAGCCAGACCCCAGACCGCCAGACCCCCAGACCCCTGTCCACTCTCCCAACAGCCAACATCCTTCTCTATCTCTATCCACAGAGTATCCATAGAGTAAAACCATACTTAATCCTAAGTGTATAGTTTTTGCAAGCGGCAGTAACCCCCAAGCGGTCTCTCTCCATCTCTCTCACAGTATGTCTTAGCAGTTAGGGATGATTTCCAATGTGTTCCGCATGTGCTTAAAGAGCGCGCAACAACTCTTTCTCTTCTCTCTCTCTCTCTCTATCCAGTGCAGCTGAGCCCATTGCTAATTAGAGTGTTATATGGCATCTATAATTGGAATTATATTTGAGTTCATTCATAAGCTTCTTCTCTCTCTCTCTTTCCCCGTGAAAGACTCAAGTAATCAGTTTAATAATCTCTATGCTCTCTTGACGCTGTTTCGAGCCAACATAATCCTTGGCTTACAATCAAAAACAAATTGCATTCAATTGTTGGCCACCTTTTTCTTGTAAGAGGAGTTTTCATATGATATCTTCAGTGGCTTCAGGGGTTATACAATCGACAGCGGTGAATCGCTTCTTTGACTCTTCGACGGCGTCTCTCTTTAAGCCCAGACAGGCCCCTAAACAAATCGAAACTGGGAATGGGTTGAATGGGTCGAATGCGGAGAGCTTATTAACAAACAAAATCCATGTATTGTTTCCACCGTTTTTTTTTTTACTCTTTGGCTTTGGCTTTGCTTTTGCTTTTGCCTGTGGCTTTGACTTGAATGCTTGTGTGTTACGTCGTCGTTCGGTGCATTGTTTTCGGGTATTGCTGCGGACCAGACTCGACCCCGGGTTGACATCTTCCCCCTCTGGCTCTCCATCTATCTCTCTCTCTCTGGTACAAAACAATCGCATCAATGCGTGGAAGTGCAATTCGCAGCGGCAGGCTGTCTGTGCAGGCTGTTCCATCAATTATAATGTGATATATCAAAAGTTGTCTCTGCTGTGACCCCCAGACCCCAAAAAGCGAACCCAAGCGACCCCCCCAACTGCAACTCCAACCCCAACTCCGACTCCAGCTGCAAGTCGTAGAAAGCACCTGTTTTACAGCCCAAAAAATGAAAACCGAAAACCGAAAAACGAAACGAGAGACCATCGATCCACAGACCAGAGACAGAGAAGCGACAAGTTTTTCCCCCCGCCCCATCCACCAAATGCATACTTTCAGGCTTTCGCTACAAAAATGCTTCATAAAAGCGACAAAAATACATAAAAGAAATGAAAAGTAGAAGAAACGGGGTGGAGGCAGCAGCAGTAAAAAGAAAACTGCATTCAATGTAGAATTTTGTTCAACGAACAACGAAGAAGACAAATTTGAATATGCCACAAATTAAGTCTTGGAATTTATCGAACGATACGCGATACACCGATCGGTCCGATCGGTCCGATCGCTCCGATGGTGCGACGATGGTGGTGTGGTGTCAACACCGTCATCCGATGATCACCTGCTGTGCAGAGTGCTGCCTCCTCGGTGGACATTTATTTTACGAGGCAGCCAGCCAGCCAGCCAGCCAGCCAGCCAGCTAGCCCGCCAGTCGGTGGGTCTGTCTGTCTGTCTGCCTGTTCGTTGTGCCTCCTGGCCCAGATTGTCTGTCCCTCTCTCTAGTTTCTAGTCCTGATTTCGCTTTCTTTCAGCAGCAGCAGCAGCTGTGTGTCGCAGACTCCCAAAAAAAAAAAAAAAACCCATAAAAAAGTATCTACAAAACTGGTTACACCGCGACTCTCATCGCATCATCACTTTTCCTTTTTGGCCGGTGTGCGAGTTTTTCCTTTCGCGACAACGGGTTGGAAAGTTCTCGGTGATCATCATCCAGCGGGCTGCTGCAGCGTAGTTCCTCTCAATTTGTATAAATTTATGGAAATTTCCATGGGCAGCAGACGGAGAATCTCGTCAGAAGATCATGCAAAATGATTAACAAACAGAACTGGAGACTAGAGGCAAACATACCCTGCCTGAGAATAACTAACAAGAAATGCTCTGGCCTGAAAGTTAATTGAAAGATCTCTGGCTCTGCAATTATTTCAATTATCTTAGCAACTGCCAGACGGCTACAAATTTAATTAGCCAAGATTTGTTGGTCTAGAAATTCGAGACAGCTTCCTCCCTCTCCATCTCTTTTTCGTTTTATTTTGGGTTAATCCCTTGACCCACTTCCTACGGGGATCTGTCACTCCTTCGGGAGGAATTCCCTTATATAGTTACTTGGGCCATAATCATGCCCTACCTCTACAAGGGCAAATGCATGCCAAAAAGATATTGTATCTTTGTATTTGTCGCGCTGTCGCCTTAGCTCTGTCTACGTCTCGTGCCATCATAAAGTACACAAAGCAAAAAGTGACATTGATGCGTCGCGACATTTAAATGCTGCTGCTGCTGCTGCTGCTGTTGTTGCTGCTGCAGCAGCCAGCGCCTGATGTCTACCTGACAAACGGACAGCAGAACGAATGGACAGATGAATGTACGGACAGATAGACACTGAGGACAGACAGATAAACGTACGGAAAGATGGATTGAATGGACAGACAGACGGTGTAGTGGAGAGGAGAGAGGAGTTGTGTATTGCGCTTGATTGAATGTCGCCGCGCCAGCGGACAAGCTGCAAAATATTTCACTCTCTCGCTAAACAAAATGCAATGTCAGATTCCAGCTGAGGCCCAGAGTCTCTGCTCTGCTCAATGGATATCTTTTACGCGGCAAATGTATCTTTGAGATACAATTGGCCTACACTGGGAGAAAATGTAGAAGGTTTTTCTAGCGAGCTAAAAGCAGTTTACAAATATTACAAAATTGTTTTCAGCTTACTAAAAAAAAAAACAATCAGCAAGTGATATAATTCCACACTGCAGAATATCTTTGAATATTTTCTTGCTTGGAAAAATATATTTTAAATGAAAAATCAACCAAAAAATATCTACATTTATCCTGGGCAGTGTAGAGAATAGCAATACCAAAAAATATATATATTAAACGTATAACTTATAACTGGAAAAATCCACCAAAAACGAGACAAATTTACATACTTACGAAATGCATTTAAAAAAAATATAAAAACCAATTTGCTGCTGTGTAGAACCTCCTGCCGCCTTTTGCGCATGCGTGCAATCTATAACAATATAAAACTTGTTACGCTTTGTTCTTTGAGAAAGATAAAACAAGCAAAGTATCTGTCAGATACAGATGCTCCACACTACTCTCACAGATGCGGCTCACGGCGGCGGCGGCTGGCTACCTGGTGGTGCCCTGTTGTTGCCCTGTTGCCGCACCAACAGATGTGCGAATTTCGAGCGATCTCTTTTTTTTTCGTTTCGGTTTTTCGGCTTTTGAGTGATTTCTGTGTTTCTTTTCGCTCTGCCCTGCGAGTGACTTTGTTGCTGGAATTTACCTTTACCTTTACCTTTACGCTGCCTGCGCTTACCTTGCCCCCCCCTGGTCTCTTCTTGTATCTCAAAGATACCCAAAACAAAGCGACAAAAACAACGAACGAAGCTACGCTCAAAGTCGTGTGTGTGTGTGTGTGTGTGTATCTTGCCGTGTCCGTGTCTGTGTCTGTTGGGTTTCCACTGTGTTTGCCGGAGTGCCCCTCGGCAGTTGTTGAGCGTGTCTGCTGTGTGCCGCATCTAGCGGATCTACTAAAAGTATCTGGCGCGAACGAGTAGAAGATACAGACGAAGAATTAACCGCCTGCCGCGTGTGTGTGCCGCCGCTTTTTACCGTGTAACTAATTTTGTTTTGAGAAATCTAAAATCTGAAATCTGAAATGGATACAAACGCTTCTTGTTTCTTGCCACTGAACGAACTAATGTGATTCTCAACCTCCTCGCCCTCCTCCTTCGCCCTCTGCAGATTCATAACGCGCACCACACGCTCCCACAGTCGCCAGGGATCCGCCACTGGTGGCCATCACACATCGCCACCGCCACCGCTGCTATCGTCCGCCTCCGCGAGTGCCATCGGATCGAGCACCGCCGTTGGCTACCACAGCGACTCCTCCTACAGTTCGCCCTCCCCCACCAGGAGACGGAATAAGCCATTGATTGGCACCGGAACCCTATCCACGGATCCCCAGTCCTCGGCGAATGGCAATAGTTCTGCTTATGAAACGGCAGCCACCACTGTGATGACACACGGAACAGCAGTAAAGGCGCCTCCTCCTCCTCGTCAGCAGAAGCATCAGAAGCAGCATCGTGATCAACAGCAGCAGCAGCAGCAGTTGCCGCTTGCCCCCGTTGAAGTTCCTAAGGCGGAATCCAAGCCTCAACCTCCAACCGAGACGTCCATCATCGCCATTGCCGCCTGTCCAGACACAGTCGCAGCCACAGCCACAGCCGCAACCACAGCCGCATCTGCCGGTAACTCAGGTGAGTCGACAACTCCTTTCGCGGCATGCAACGACATGTCTTCTTCTCTTTATTTCACTGTTTGTGTTGTTTGTGTGTCGTGTTGCCTGTTTCACGTTTCAAGTTTCCTTCCTTTTGTGTTTGTCCTTGATGTCCTTGTTTGTACTTGCTGCTTACTGATATGCGCTTCCTTCTCAATGGCTGGGCTGGGCTGATGATTCTGCCTAGCCCTCACTCTTGCTTGACATATAACTCTTTTTGGGGCCATAGATCGCTTCTGCCTTACACTTGATATACAAATCTATTATGCTACCAAGTATGTTCTGTTCTGTTATTTATTTATGCTTAAGTTTCATTCAATAGATACGCTTGACGAACTACATCGCTCCCTTAAGCGTTAATTCGTTTTTCCAAACATCTTTTTAGATCTTTGAGAGCTTTGATGATCACTTTGTGGATCGTTTTGTGAATGAAGGATCAGCCTTCCATTGCTTCATTTAGAGCTCTATCGAGAACCACACTTCACTCAAAAGAACCCCCTACTATTGCTCTTTTAGTGATATTCTAAGGATCCCTTAGACCCCTCTTGAAGTTCCTCCTTCGTCTGCTCACTTGGAACATCTTTACCTTTTTTTGCTCATTTGCAGCTGAATATTTGGGGGTTTCCTGCTTCAATTGATACCCCTGCTCCTTTCAGTAGATCCTTCATCGATCTTGGCAACTCCTCAACCCTTTTGGTAGATCATTTAATGATTATTCTCATTGTAGTTCACGAATCTTTATTGTATTCCCTTTCTTCTGTGCATGAGAAGGAGGCATTAAATATCATCTATTGGATTCCTTATGCAATTACCCCTATCAGTGGGTATTTTTCTATTGTTTTTTATTAGGTCATCAAGTGATTGGCAGCATATGAGTATTCCCTTTAGGAAAGATCTTTACCCTTCGTTCTTTCGATTCCCAAACTCCTGTCAGATCTTTTCCCTTTGCAATTACCCCTTTCAGTAGATCGTTTTGTTGCTGCCTTTCCCTAGGAAATTCAGCTGTCTCCCATCAAGAGAGGTATCCCCTCAAAAATCCCCGTCCTGTTTGCTGTTCCCTTGCAGGAAAAACCCTTTCCTTTACCCTGCTAACCATTCGATTATGAAGCAAATTACAATATCATTAAGCGAATTCTTCTTGTGGCCGCTAAAACTTTCCCACTGAAATGTTTTTGGTAATTAGCCCGCCCCATGCCCCTTGGCGGCAGCAGCCCTGAACCGCATTCATTTCTGCACAGCAAATTAGTTAAACGAGAAACCAAAAAACACTTCCATCATACAGAAGAGACCTGAGGAGATCCGAGACGTTGTCTCTCTTTTATTTTGGTTTTGTTTCTTATTTTGCGCTACACTTAAAAGCAATTTAAACGAAATTAGATTTTTGTCGGCTTGCCAATCAAGCGTCGAGTCGAGTCGAAAAACGTTTTCTAGACACAAAATGTTAATTTGTATCTATGTACGAGTATCTATCGCTCGAAGAGACCTTCGAACATTTACTAGACTCGTAAATCCAATTGCAGTTGGGGATTTAAATCGATTTCGGACTCGAAACAATTTCCAAATCGCTTTGGACTGTCAGAAAACTGTCTAAAAATTATATAAAATTTGCACAATTTTTAACGATATTATGACAGCGAATTTCTCAATAGATTTTGCTCCTTTTTTTTGTGTGTCTAAATGAATAAAATTGTTTGTCATTAAATAAGATTGAGACCCCCCCCCCACCCAAAGCCCAAGCAGAGACTTCACGCAACTTTTAGGCAAATGAAAGATGCCATAAAATTGCTAATAGATCTACACGAATATCTCCCCAAAAAAAAAGCAAAACCTAAAACCCAAACAACGAACCCCAACGGATCCAACTGACAGAGCTAGCTGTGTGCCCAATTTTTCGTTATTTTTTATTGCTTATCAATTCGAGATTTCATTCATTCATCGATCGTTGGTTTCATTGGAAATCAGGTTTATTATCAACAAAAAAAAAAAAAAAAAGGTTTTCATAGATATTTTTGACAGACCCCAGAGACCTCTCTTTCTCTCTCTCTCACGTAACGGGTGTTGGGTTTGTTGTTGAGAAAGTCTTTCCCTACGAAAAAGAGCTGCATGCCCAAAGATTGTGGGAATAGATCTCCCAAGAAGCTGTCGAAGATTAGTGGCGATCAGCTACAGAAAAATAGGTAGAATCCATAACGCCAAAGCTGCACACAGATCCCAGGAATCCGAGCATCCAATGAGTTCTCCAAAGATGATAATTATAACTACCGCATATTCGTTTCTAAGTGCACTCATAGAAGAACACTAGACTGAATGCATGGATAATGCCTCTGAAAGAGGATCGCTGGAAGATCTGCTGTATGGAAAAGGGTTTAATCGCGTTCGAACTCAAATGCCACACACGGAATGACAGATTTGTCCCATAAATAAACAACTTCTGCTACGATCAATCGATCGATGATCGATCTCTTTGAGACTTTTAATTTCCCTGCCAATTGTTGTTTCCCGGGCCTTTTGTTTTCTTTCTCTCTTTTGTTTGTGGCTTGGCGTATTGATTTCAATATTTACCAATTTGGCAATTTTTGTTCATGGAATTAATTTGATTGTTGTTTTGTTGTGGAGGGCAGCCCTCCCGGATGGCGGTGGACGATGATGGTGTCGTCTAGCATCTAAAAGGCGAATGCTCTCGCGGAGTGCCCTGGAAAGTTTAGAGAGCGTTCACTGATCTTTGACAGGCAGACAGACAGACAGACAGACAGGCAGGCAGGCAGACGGAATGGATGACAGACAGATGGGACTGGCTGACTGACGGACAGTCAGAAAGAAGGCAATGAACGGAGGACGGGGATGATCATCATCATGCTGGCTGGCTGGCTGGCTGGCTGTTGCTGCTGGTAAAAGATGATTCGCTTAAATTTCGCGGCGCCCTCTCTGCTGCTGTCTTTCGGTCTTTGGAGATTACGAAATCGTTTTCGTTCGTTGGATTACATAAGCCACACCAAGAAAAAAAACCCAACGAAACGATGGGGGAGTGGGCAGGGAAGAAAGGAGGTTCAAATGAGGTTGCTTTCACATGAGCCGTAAATTCTTGAGATTCTTTTGTGAGTTGTGCGAAATTCCATAGAAAATATTTCCATTGCCATCTGGAGGATGGGCATATGTATGTAATTCCCATGTGATTGCCTGTCCCCACAGCTCTTGTTGAATGAAATCCATCCGATCTTTGAAAAATTGTTGTCATTAAATCGAATATCTGCATCATTTGATGTTCATTTGTATGGATTTATTTATGTTTTAGAAATTATACGTAATCATCGTCAGAGTTCCATATATCATCATTAAATGTTTTTGCTAATGAACATTTGATCACCTGTTTAAACTCTCAAACTCTCAGGCCCTCAAGCCTCCATCGATCGACCCGAAATGATAGATTTCTTTTGGTTTTAATGCTTTGCTTTTGTCACACAAAACTTTCGCAAGTATTTTCCATAGGCTTTTCCCCCACATTTTCTCTGGCGTTTTTCTACGTTAGCCAGGCCAATCGATCAATCATTGAAGCGCGCACACAGCTCTATGCTAAGGGGTTATGATAGGGTTTTTGCATATTTAAAAACAAATTTGAGCTAAATCGGATAGCTATTAGGGAAAATATCGATTTGGAAGTGCAGTCGTGTTTTTTGTCTGTTTTTTCTTCATCGAAATTTCAGTATTTTTGCCTACCTTTTCAAAGGGTTTTTATGATGAGAAATCTGTGCAAAGTGCCACACATCTTAGCTCCCATAGAAACGATCTTCAGGCGTATTCCATACCACACTTTAGGCCCCTGAAAGTGAGCTTTTCTTTCGGTTTTCTCCACTGTAATTTCTTGTCATCGATCAATCTTTTTGGATATCAAGTATTATGCAATCGAAAAAACAGCAGCAACAGACAACAGACAACAACAACAGCAACAGCAGCAACAACTGCAGATCATAACAGATTCCACATGCTTTAATGTCTCCACGCATATTTACCCCCTCCAAAAAAAAAAAAAAAAACACATGCAACATGCAACAGTAGCAACAACAGCAACAGCAGCAACAAGTAGCAGTAGCAGCAGCAGCCGGGGAAAAGCTGCCACCAAATGCAGCATTAATTGCGCTTACATACACAACAACAACTGTAACTGCAACTGCAACAAAAGCCAGTGCCAGAGCCACAGCCACAGCAACAGCAACAGCAACAACAACACTAATCTGCAACTGCCACAGAAACGAGGCAACAACACCACGCCCATGCCGCCCCTAGCTAATGCCAACAAAGCGCCGTTAATTGTGCTGAAATCTGCAGCAGCAACAGGAGGAGGCGCCACAGCTGTTGCCTCCGCCGCCGCCGCCGCATCAGCCACAAGTTCTCCCATAAAACGTCGCAAAAATCCGCCTGCAATTTCCCCATTGAGCCTAGGCTTGGAGGCAGCGATAGGAGGCGCTGGCAGTGGCGGTGGCGGCAGCTGCTGCTCTTCGTCCACATCCACATCGCCCCAAACCTCGCCAGCGGTGCGTCAAACCAAAGCCAGTCGCCTGCGTGCCGCAGCGCTCGGTGAGTGTCCTCCCAGCTCTCTCTCTCTCTCTCTCTGGCACACAACTGATATTACGTAGACTATATTCCATAAATGGTTCTGGTTCAAGGGTTTTTTATCCTTTACTTTCTTCAAAAATGTATCTAACATCCTGCTGGCCTATCCTTAATTTTTGTTGTGTGTAAAAATCAATGTCAACCAAGGCTCCTATTCATCATATACCCAATTGTTTTCCCCCTCCCACACAACCACACGCACACACAACTCTCTGCCTGCCCCACTGCAGACAAAAAGAAGGAAGAGGAGCAGCAACGTCAGCGCTATAGTTCGCCCTGTTCCCCACGGAACACTGGGGGAGGAGCGGCAGCAGCAGGTGGTCCCTCGCCAAGTCGACGCCTCAGCAGCTCTGAGATTTCACCAAAATCTTCTGCTATCAGTGGCTTCAATTCAGAGCCAGCAGCAGCAGCAGGAGGACAGCAGTCAAAGGCGCGATCCTCATCACAACCGGCTGATACACCACCCACACAGCGCAGACACAACCTGGTGGCCGTCGGCAGTGGACTCTCGATGAAGCAGAACCTCAGCGAACTGCACTTTACGGCCTCGACCGATTGCACCCTCAAGATGATGCGGCCACGCAGCAGCACATTGAGCACAGAGCAACCGGACGCCCAAAATGGGGCACGCGATAATCTGAATCTGGCCAATTTGCAACTGAGTCCCGTGCAAAAGCACAAGCGAACGGTGAGTGCTTAGCAGAGATCCATGTGCCATGCCCAAAACTAATCTCTGTTTTTCTCCTCTCCCTCTGCCTCTGATAGCCGGAGAGTTCGCCTCGTCGTCTGGGAGATCGCGATAAATCGGCGAAACGTAAATCAAATTTGAATCGTTCATTGACAGAGGAAGCCACCAAGGATGGCGGTAAGTGCCACCACAAAGGCGGATGAGGCAGCAGCAGCAGCGGATGAGGCGGCAGCAGCAGCAGCGTATGAGAGGCAGCAGCATCCAAATTTGGTTTTTGTTTTGCCTTCAAGCTTGAATGCATTGAATGGAACTGCCAAAAAGGTTTCCAAGCGATGGATGGAAGACTCTTCTCTTCTTCTCTGGCGTCAGTCAATCTTCGAACGTCATGTGGCATCAACCACACAGCGGCTACTCCTTGCAACAATTCCATTTCCATCATTTTGTACTCCGTGCGGAGAGCTTTTCCACCTCCGGCTTCGCGTCCATTTGCATACGAAAAACCTGTGTAAAATATGTTAAAATCCGCCACCAAATGCTGTTGTTGCCCCATCACCGCCCACAAATGCTGTTGTTGCCCCAACACCGCCCACTGTTATGCACGTGTCTGCCCAAGTGTCCTGTGAAATTTTGAAACAGAAAAATCCCTTTGAATCCAAGACTAATGCCCTGATCTTCTCTTGCAGATGAGGCAGATGCCACGAACCGCCGACGTCGACGACGTGAGCTGGGAATGGCACGTCCTTTGGTGCCTGGTGATGATGAGGCACTGCGTGATCTGCTCGCCCAGTCGCCGTTGAAGAGCTCTTGCAGCGAATCGACTGGGGCATCGAAATCGGAACCCGTGCGTCCCCTGACCTGCTCCTTTCCCGGACAGCGTCATCCCGAGGTGGCTGTGCGCACTATGACGGCTGTGCTGCCAACGCCACGACCACTGCATGCCCCACAGCAGTCGGTGAGGAGTGTAACGCAGAAGTTCAATGAGCGAACCCGTGCGGATCTGGCCGAAATTAAGAAGATTGTGGATCAATCGGAGGAGGTGCCACAGCAGCAGCCAGAGGAGATGTCGAGTCAGAAAATGTCTGCTGCAGTTCTGCGACGCAAAAGCACGGATGAGGCAGGAGCCGCCGGAGGTGCACACGGCTCTCCCCCAGCCCCAAATCAGATTGTTTCTATACTAAAGAAAAAAGAACAAGCCTTTGGCGACTGCAATTCGAGTGCCTCGAGCAATGCCTCGCCAGTGACGTTCTCATCGAGCGTAATGGATCCACCGCTGGCGGGGACTGCCCGCAGCAAGCGCCAGGGAATCCTGAAGAAGCGCTCCAGCCTAGATGAGTCGCGGTACTACTCCCGCTCCCATTCACCGGATGAACGGAGCATACTGATCAAGTCGGCGCGTAGGAACTCCCTCGAGGAAGCAGGCACAGGACTGAGTCCCGCCCAGAGCCATGGAATTCTGAAGCAGAGCAGCTACGACAGCAACAAGAGCGATGGATGCCCCTCGGCGGCGGAGAGTCAGCCGCACAGCATACTGAAGAAGAAGGACTCGCTGTCGACGCCCTCGGATGGGGGATGCCACAAGCATGTGTCCATCTCGCAGGCGGTGACACTGGCAGCCGCTGAACTGGCGGCCCATCACGATGGCAGCTTCGGGCTGGAGGATGTGGCAGTGGATGCCGACGGTCATGAGATCCGACCCATTCTGAAGCAGGAGAGCACCTCCAGCGAGGAGGCAGTGCGTCCCCCGAAGCCCATACTGAAGAAGAAATCGTTTGGGGAGGCGGACGAGCACGAGGCGATTCGACCGATACTCAAGTCCTCCCGCAAGAGCAGTCGCGATGAGTTCGATTTGAGCGGATTGGATCACGAGGGCGGCACCGATTCGCCCATTCATCCCATACTCAAAACGGATTCACCCTCCAAGCGTCGCTCGTTGGGCTCCTCACACGACCAGGACTCGCCCAGCCTCCTAAAGCGACGCACCCGCTCACTGGAGCGTCCGGATGCGCCGCCCGTCATTGATTTGGCTGCAGCACTCGATGCCATCTCCACATCGCAGGCGGCAGCTGCTCAACCCAGCAGCACGCCCGTGGATTTTGTCACCACCCCGACGAGCATATCCGTGGCGGAGAGGATTAAGCGCATGGAAATGCTCGCGACACCACCCTCCCGCCAGGCGGGTGGCATCAACAGCAGCTGGGAGTCGCCGCTGCAGCAGACACCAGTGAAAGCTGCAGAAGACGGCGAGGAAAGTCCTGCCCCGCGACTGCTGAAGCCCAGTGTCCTGCGAAGGGATCTCCAGCGAGAGCGATACAAAACGCAGCCAGTTACGAGCGAGGAGAAGAGTTTGTAAGTTTGAATACTCGTATTTGTGTGTGAATCTCTCTCTCTGCATCTGTGTATCTGCAATTCCACATTGCGTATACGCATTGTATGGCAGGCAGGCGGCAGACTGTCAATCTGTCACCACACGACATTTGCCGCTTCACGGTTCGATGGTCCAAAGAATTCCAGCAGCAGCAGCATGGAATCATTGCTATTTTTGGTCCGAATGTCTGGCACTCGGCCTACGCTTCATATAAATATTTATACCTCGCTCACACTTGCTTTTCCCCATGCAAAATGTATGAAAATTTGCAGAGTTATTGGCCCCTGATTCAGGGTCATTTCCATAGCAGCTACTCCCAGCTACTCCCAGCTGCTCCCTGCTGGTCATTGCTCTCGTATAATTATACATTTATTTTGTTCTGCTTAATTGTATTTTGTGGCCACACATCGTTGACCCCACCCCACCCAACCCCTTGGATGATGATATATTTACCATATTTCCAATGAAAAACTAATTTTGTTTTACCCAAAAAAAAAACCCATTGAACCCACCAGTTCCTGACCTCAATTCGTATTTGCCATCATGCTCGTATATTCATTTGCCGTAAACTCACTTTTCTTTGGCTCTTCTGCTATGTTTTTTATTACCTCTTACCTATTTTTTTTGTCACTTAAGCAGCTTATTGCTTGCCTAATTACCTGTGCAGGCACCCCTGCACACCTCTCTCTCCGTGTGTGCAACAATTGAGGCCAACAAGAACACGCGAAAGCCCGCAACAAAAATTAAGCAAAATAAAGGTTTAGTAATGGTTTGGGGATTAGAGAAGGTCGATTGGCTTACAAGGTAGAAGGTATACGAGAGAGCGTTACGAGAGTAGTATACGGGTGAGTGTTACGAGAGGGATATACGGGAGAGTGTTACGAAAGGGGTATACGAGAGAGGCTTTTAAGAAAAAGAAAAAAAAAGAGAATGTTTTGGGTTTTATTGATCTTTCAATGATCAAAACAGGTTGCTCTATTTTATTGCTAAAATATGTAACTGGCATACTTTTCCCCCCCTTCGATGATCATTCTGTTAGTGACTCTTTCCTGCTATCATTCTCCATCTTTTAATGGCTCTTCCTGCCTATGTATCACCACCTATTAGTCCGACAAATTCCCACCTTTCGGACGACTGCTAATTTCTGCGAATTTTGCAAAGGTTTGGCCAATGTCAAGCGTCGTAAACCTAGTTTTCGGCCACTAAAAGCATTTTAGAATCATTAAAAATACTAGAATAGATACTGTCCCGGCTCTATACCACTATACCCTTCCCCTCTTTAACTGTGTTTTTATGTCAGCATTTTATGGTGCGGCTGCTCCACGAGTGAGTGTTCCATAGAGTTCTTGTTGTTTGTAGTTGTTATTTTTTTCGGGGCTTTTGTTCCGCTTGGCATGGCACTCCCTTCCTCAAACAAAAAACACAGACAAGAACAGAACAATAAGTTCTTTTGGTGCCCAGCTGCACCGCCCCCCCTGCTATATCTTTCATACTGCTTTTGTTTTTCACACTCTCTGCCGCCTGTCACATTTGCATTCAACGAACGGTATTGTCAATATCTTTTCGCACACATTCGCCGACATTCGACAGTCGAGGCTTTGTGGCGTGTAATTTATGCTGCCCATATAGCCATATGCGAGTAGTCATATGCCCCATAGAAGAACCCCTCCCCACACAACAGAACAGAACACAAAAAGGTTGCTTGCATTTCAGTTGGTTGCAGCGCTCGAAAGCGTTCAGAAGATACTACTACTCGTATCTGGGGGTTCAGTTCTGTTCAGTTGTGCTCAGTTGTGTTGGGGGTGTGCGTCATAACCATCTATCCATACATCCGCACGGGAGTAGAGGACTACGAGCACTCTTTCGGGAAGCAATCATCACCCAATCACCTAGATTGAAGTGGATACTCCACCAAACCAAAAAAAAAAAAAAACAAACATAAAGGGTTTGTCCTTGCTGCTTGTGTTCCATGTTGCTGCTGTTGCATAGACGTCAGAGTGAAAAAATGTTTGAGGCGTATATCAGAAAACGGTAAATGAAAAAGCCAACCAAAATCGAAGGAAAAACCTGTCAAAAATCAAACGAAAAACCTGTCAAAAATCAAACGAAAAACCTGTCAACAACTGCCGGCATTTAAACACTTTTTGTGGTGTACCAGAGAGCAAACATTTGTGGTCCGATTAAATCAATATTGTAGTAGCAGTAGAACCAGCTATGGCATGTCCAATTCAAAGTTATGTATCTGTATCATTCGTAATCTTTTGATAAGATAACTGTTGGGTAACAATCGACAAAACTTAGTCAGCGAGCAAGACTTTAACCCTGAACTCTATCACCAAGTAGAATCTATTTAGTATTATAAATTAGCTAAGAATGTACCCACTCAATAAATACCTAAGGAACTGATGACGCAGAAGGTTGAAAGTAGGTTTCAGGTTTATCTTTTCTAAGGCCAATTATACGAGCTAATCCTTAAAACTCGTATAATTTCAATATGTTGAATGACTCCACCTCCAGTGTCTTCAACAAGGTACGACATTTAACATATTTTCCATAAGACTTCAAGGGGTATATAATGCACAAAAGTAAGATTAAATCAAATTCAAGTATCAGGGATCACTGGAAGAACCTTTTAATAGATAATGGCAGGGCCTAGAGAGCCGCCCCATCGTACATATAGAGCTGTAAAAGTTATACCATAGTTACCACAATGGTTTGAGTGCACAATACCCTAATGTAGGATCATCAGAAGTACCATTTCACAGATAACTCTTCAAGGTTCTAAGAGTCACAGTCACCGTCATTGTCCTCGTCATAGACCTCTCAATTCTTTCCACTAGTTACCCTTTCTGCGAGGATCACTAACCCCAATAGCAGCGACCTCTGACATCATCTAAATATACATATTACAGGCTCTATATAGCTGCCAGAAATCGTACCATTTTTTTCCATAAATAACTTTATCCATGTCGCACTTTTTCAACGTCAGTCGGTGGCCCATTCAAAAAGCAAAAGTTCCTAAAAATAAGATGAAAACAAAAAAATGAGCAACAAATGTTCTCCGCACGAAGCAGCTGCTCCTCTCTTTCTCTGTTTCTCTTGAGAAAAGTGCTACGGCAAAAGAAAAATCAGGGAAAATCCACTAAAGAAAGAAAGGAAAATACCAGACCAAAATAAATATAAAGCGCAGCAATAAAAAGAAAACGAGGAAAAACAAAAGCTGAAAATAATTTAAATTTGCTGGCAGCGACGTCGACAGCGCGCCACTCTGCACCACTGTGCAGCACCACCCAACCAATCGCCACACCACTCAACCGCTGGCCGGATCCGCCGGTCCGCTCTGCTCTGCTCTGCTCTTCCGCTGCTGCGATTGGCAGCGGCGTCGGCAGCGTCTCCCCATTTGTTTTTACAAATTTTTCGCTCAGTCGCTCGCGATCGCTTTTTCAATTTTCACGTACGCCGCAGTCGAACGCAGCGCTGAAATAAAATTTATATACTTTTCGAATGGAAAAATAACGTTAAAAAAAAAACTATAAAAAGAGAGAAGAAATAGTGAAGGAACTGAAGAGTAAAACAGTGAGGAAATAATGATTGAAACAGAGAGAAAATTGTGATCGTATCTCGTAAAATAACAAAATAAATAGTGATCCAATCAGTAGACACAAAAGGGGACAAATTGTGATTAAAACAATTAACAGAAGAGTGATTGAAAACATCGCCTTACAAACGTGTGATCGTAACAATTTAAACCCTTGAAAAAAGAGGCTAAATAGTGCTCCAATCATTTGCCCAGAGAAGAGCATAATTAGTGCTGCAATCGAATGTCATTATAGAGTATAAATAATATCCGAAGTTCACGAAAAAGAGAGCATAGATAGTCCATCAAAGAGTGTACAAATTGTGATCGAAGTTCTCATCCAAAAAAGAGAGTATAAATAGCAATCAAAGTTCTCATCAAAAAGAGAACAAATAGTGGAATGAATAAGTGGAAAAGAAATCGAAACTACTCATAACTGATAAAACAAAAAACGCTGCACGGTTCGGTTCGGTCCGGTACGGTACGGTCTCTCCTTATCAGGTGGAAGGTACGAGTAGAAGGAAGAAAAAGGTAGAAATAAATACATATACAGTATACTCGTATATTTGTATATCTGTTCAAAGAAAACCCACGTTCTCATACCATTAAAATGTCTTTGCCAGTTGCCGGTTGATGGTCAGAATTCATTCGAGTGACATTCCGGCCACATTTACCGCGTGTTTGTAAACTGAAAAAAAAAGGTTGGGAAAATATCTTTGAATATCAATAGAAATCGGTGGAAATATCATGGAAATGTTTAGCATGAAAATCACTGAATAAATTGTTGCTATGTCGGGCATGAGAAAGGAAAAAATAAATATGGAAATGAGAGATTTTTCGAGCATCTCATTCGTAATGTGCTATAAATAAATTCCATGGAAATGTGCAAGGCAGAACCACAGCACAAATTCCATTTTCAAGTGCCAAAATATGAAAACCCCGCTGCAAAGTGTGCAAATATTTGTTAAAATCACAAAATGGCAATCACAATGGCTTCATAAAATATTATTATATATTATACTTATATATTTGCGGCTAAAAAATACATGTATTTTTTGGCTTACGTTCTGTTCACTCATTTTGGTGATTAGATCATTCGAACAATCATCATTATTTTTTTTGTTTTTGTTGTTAGAATATCGGCAACTGTTGGCCCTAATCATGCTCCCATAAATATTATTTTTAAATTATAGTTAAGAATTCATTCTCTTCCTCGCTTGTGTTTGCTCTTTCTCTCTGTTGTTTTCCCTTTCGTTCTCTCTTTTGTCCACTCTCCTTGGCTGGTTTCTCTGCCTCTCTGCTCTCTCTCTCTCTTTCTTCTGAAAATCCAATTAGCTTAGTTTTTCTATTTATTTTAGTTGTTTATTTATAGTTTTTTTCTCTCTGTTTTTCACCGCTGCCTCACCTTCATTCGCATTGCCTGGAAAATGCAAACAAATATTGGGAAAATATACAGAAAATAAGGTTGTGGGTGAAACGACTAAATATAGAAGGGAATGCGGTAGGAAAAATGCAGAATATATCTGGCAAGACACGCAGCAATTTTTGATTGTGAAATTTTGGATTTCTGTAGCGAGTTTTTTTTCGGTGTGTCTTTACACCTTATCATCAATTCAATTACCTTTCACTCTTGGCTTAAACAGCTTGGCTAATTCTTTGGGCCATCGTTGAGCGCATAAACATCTACCTTCACTTTCGGTTTGATGAGAAGTGATTCCCTCGGGGCCAGAGGTTTCACCATCCAGCCAGCCATCCCATAGCCATAGCCATAATTAACTTGACCAAAATTGCCTATAATTATGGCCAAAATGCTGTGCGCGAGGCATTGTTCGCCAACAGACAGAGAGATTCACACAATATTAATGCCATTTGTTATTTCGACTTGTTATGTAAATGTTTGAGCAGAGTTAACATCAACGATTCAATCATTTGCAGCTTCAAAGCCAACTCCACGCCCTTTGACATCTCGTCGTCGGGCACGTCGGCCTTCAAGCCCACCAAACCGCTGGACATTCGCCTGAGCCACGCCCAACAGCAGCAGCCACTAATATCGCCGATAACTGGACAACCACTGAGCCACGTGCCAGCACCACTGCTGCTCTCCTCATCGACACATTCGGGGGCAGGAACGTCCTTCCGTTTGGCCCGCAGCTCCACGCAGCCCCTACAATCTCCACGCGTCGTGCACTTGGCCACACAGGGCGGTGCACCCACTGCATCCCCAGCCTCATCACCGTCGCTGCTGCTGGCCCGCCAGCATTCAATCAACGACAGCGTCAATCTCAGCGAACAGTTGACCCTCTCCGTGGGCACGGACAGTGAGCACATCTTCGAGATGTCCGGACTGGAGGAGGACTCGGCCATACAGTCGCTGAGCGACGAAGTATCCACCTCTGCATCTGCATCTGCCACGGCAACCGCAACCGCAACCACAACGCCAGCCAGTGGTTTGGCTCGCAGCAATAGTGTTCGGGACAGGGCCAATATGTTCCAGCAATTGCAGCAGGACCAGTCGTCGCGCAATCGTCGGTCTGAGGCAGCAGCAGCTGCAGCAGCATCAGCATCAGCCGGAGAGCAGTCAACGCCACGTGCAGCGGGTGAGTACTCCATGAAGATTAGAGGGGACCATGGGGAGGGGCTGGGGGCCCTATGGGGGCTCGCTCGTCATTACGGAAGGTATCATCATCAAGTGGGTTGGCAGAAATTAGCATGAAGCAATAAAACAAATGAGGAGAGGAGACCGTTAGGTGGAACAGCGGGCCACTATGCGAACTTTGTTGTGGCCCATGAGGCAACGGCAACGAACCATAGCAAGAAGGCCAAGACCACAGAAACCAGAAGCCAGAATGGGATTACGATACAAGTAGTAGAGTAGAGTCGAGTCATTTCGCCTGAACTATGGCTTAATAGAGGAGAAAACGTTTTAAAGAAAAGCCAAGAAGAGGTCAGGATTGGGCAGGGATTATGTTAGACTATTCTATCAAGAGAATCCAATTTCTACTACTTCTTTCTTATATTTCTGATATAAATAAAGTAGAGAACACTCTTTTTTGTTATACAAAAATTCTTCCAGTAAGGAACTTTATTTCGTTGCTATTCAAACCCATTTGAATATATATATCTATAAAGCTTATGATAGTTCCTTCCACAATAGTCATAGTACAGCTCTAGATTGCTCCATTTATAGCATAACAGACAGAACTGCCAGTAGGTGCATCCCTTCTTGAGTTTTTTTACCCGAGTCCCCCAGCCCAAATGACTACCTTTATTGGTCTGTGACACCTTTATTTTGTGAGTTTGCCAGTTGTGTGTTGCCATTTGTTGTTCCGTTTTGTTGGCAAGCCTCTCATGGTTGTTGGCCAAGTTAATAAGCTGTAAAATGTGTGTCACTCGCCTTGCCACACAAACACTCAGTCGCATGTCGCGTCGTCTCGTTGGCAATCCAGCGGCTAATTGAAGCTCTCGTGTTTGTTGTGCAACACATTTGTGGGCGGGGGGTGACCATTGACGGGGTGGGGTCCCACTCGAGATTAGTAGCAGGTAGGCCCAGCATCGACAGAGGGTATCTAATCATGTCTGCGAGTAGTCATTGCAAGTTATGTCAATCAGTTACACAGCCGCCAGTCGAACAGACAGAAAAAAAAATTCTAAAAGAAAATTTTGAAAATAAAAAAAATGGCAATGATTTTCAAGATAAACCTACACGTCCCGCCAGATCCGATGACTTTTCAAGGAGGACATCATATATTAATTCATATTCCAAATATTTCAGGACGCCAATTATCGCCTGGAAATATCACAAATCCTGTGGAAATATCGTCGCTCAATGATGATCCAATGACGCCAAATAATACACAAGATGAGGAATTTGGTAAGCTTCAATTGGGATTATCACATGAAAGAGAAAATGGAACCTGACACAGAATTCTGTCTGCTCTTTTCATTTGTGCAACATTTTACGCCTCATTTGTTTGCATCGAAATTTTATCGTTTTGATTGCACGAAAATTGCTCATGTTTTTTTTTTTTTGGAATGAAAACTTACACATATACATATATATTTATTGTTCTTGCTGTTGTTGTTGTTGTTGCTTAATGTTGTCTTGTTTTTATATACATATATAATTTTATTGGCGCCGACCGCGAGACTAATTTTAATGATTAACTTGAACAAATTTGAGCGAACTGCAAAAAGAAAATTGCGCAATTGCCACACAAAAAGGAAAGAAAAACTGCATGAAAAAACCTGCAGTCGAATAATGGGCAGCAAAGAGAATCGCAAAAACCAATTTTCCATGGTTTTCCATGCATGTGCATCCATCATACATACATTTTCCATTACATTTTCCTTCCATTTTCATTTATATTTACATTTTCATTATTTTCTGCCCGTTTCTTGTGTGTGTGTTTTTTTTTTTTTTTAATTTTTAACAAATGAATTAACTTCTTGCTATAATTGTTGCTGTTGCTGTTTGCTCTGGTTTTATTATTGTTGTTATTGCCGCATGTGAAAATGATTAACAAGTGTTTTAATTTATTTTGTTTATGTAATTTATGATTCGTGGTTTTCTTTGCCACATTTCCACATATTTTCCCGATGCGGTTTTCCCGTCTGCGTTTTGGTCCCGGGGTCTTTAGTGAACTTAATTAACCGTTCATAATTTGTCTGGCATTTGCGTACAACATTTTTTGGAATCCTCCTCTTTGGAGCTTTGGAATTCAAGGGGAAGTCTTCCTACCCCACCTCATTTGTGTGTTACACTGACACACTTGTGGAATGTGTGGCGCACCTTTTTTTTTAACCTCCTTTTTTTGCCATCCAGCTATCGGTTAGGAGAGTTTTACGACTGCAGATTGGGAGCGCCTCTCCCTGGTGACGCCTCTCCTTCTTTGTCGTCTCGTGTCGTAAAATTTAATGAATGATAAGGTGGGAATGACGTTGACCTTGGCATACGATAGTGGTGTATACCATACCTACAATTAGCATAAAAAGCAAGGAATTTATTGGATGTTACGTATAATATTTATAGTAATATTTCTATAGTGTTTGACACTCCTTTGAATAAGTGAATCAGTGCAGAATTTAAAGGGAATTTTATATATTTTGTATTATAATAAGAGCAGACATCAAAAGGTAATTGCTATAGTAGTTGTGTTATTATTAAAAAACTCCTTTTGGGACGCTTTACTTTGCCGAAATTCAATGGAAATTTTCTAAATGATTTATACAAATACTCCAAGAATATTTTCTTTATTCAAACCAAAATGATTGATCATTGCAGTCGTTTTAGTTATTTTTAACATCCATTATTTTATTATCAAATTTATGCGTAATTGAATGTAGGGTTTTCCACATAATGCTCTCGCTATGATTAATGTTTATATTGAGAACTTTGACGCATTTACCCCATTGGCTTCTGCAATTATTCTTTACGAATAGGAGGGCGTATCTGATTGGCACTTATCCCAGCCTCCAATCTACGGTTTGGTCTTTGGGGGCTGCCTTCGTTCTAAACGAATCTTTCACATGCTCGTATGGCATGTTATTTCCCTCAACAGCTTGTATCAATCATTGCTGCTGACACTTACATTCCGCAAAGAAAGTTCATATCAATTGAGGAACAAATATCGAAAGTTTGCAAATGAAAATGAAACCTACAAAAGAGACAACATATGTGCGTGTATTAATAGGTACTCCTCTATGGCTACTCCATGGGTACCTCTATGGGCGGCTGGCTAGACAGCGGACAAAAGAGTAAAATAAATTATAGAAATTGCTATATAAATGAGACAAACAGACGACGAAACTTTCTATGGCGGTGGTGGGGGGAGCAGAAATCTTTTGTGATTGTTGGGGTCTTTAGTTTAGTGGTTGATAAAGATACAGCAGCGCAGCAACAGCAACAAATACGAGTGTGTATGATATCCGTACAATAAAGAGAGGAAAAATACATACATTTTATCGGCAACAGTAAACAGCAGCAGCAACATTTTGTGTCGAGAGTTGAGTGGGCGCCGCCGAATGGCTTTGGATAAAAACTGAATGCGCACATCGTTTTTGACTTTTGTAAGTTGCCACAAGTTGAGGCGCAACTACACCAGGCGCAACACGAAGCAACAACAACTACCATAAAATACAATAAAAAATATATATATATAGTTAAAGAGCAAATGAGATGCGTAAGATCCATCACACACACTAGACAAAAACTAACTTCTAATCCCCCAAAAAAAAACCTATATATATATATATTCGATCGCAGAACCCTCATCATTGTCGCTGGCCGAACGTTTGGCGTTCTTCAGCAACCTGTGCGATGGCAGTGGAGGCAGTGCCAGTGGCGGCGGCCGGTACCGCAGTCGCACCAGCAGCTACTCCCGTAGTCCGCCCATTGATCGCACCACGCCGCGGAGCAGCACCACAGCGAACAGCAGCTGCAGTGTGACGCCCACGCCCTCGCCCATACCGTACGAACGGGAACAGCAGCAGCAGCAGCAGCAGCCGTCTAGCCTGACGCTGGAGATCATCATGGAGCCACAGCCAGAGCAGGAGTCGCAGCAGAAGCAGCAAAATGGATTTCACGAACTGAGCCGCTCAGCTACGGAGCCATGCAACACCATCAATGATACCACCGACACCACCGACACCACCACCACCACCACACCGACCTCCCTCCGGAGTGTCCGCTTGCGAACGGTGGGCAAACTGATCCTACCAGACACATTCCGTGGCGGAGATCGCAACAACAACATCAATAAGAGTGGCAGCATCAGCTTGAACAGGAACAGCTATCCGGCGGAAGAGCTGCAGATTGTGGAGGCCGTGCACATGAACGTCCGCTCCATTGGGAAGATCAAGTCGCCCTTCATCGAGCAGCAACAGCAGCAGCAGCAGCAGCGTCACTCCACACCCACGGTGACGGTTACAGTGAAGCCCGTGAAGTACGACTACAAGCAGGCAAATGGAGCTAACAGTGGCGACAGTGGCTCAGATTCCGGCAAAGAGAACTGCGCCTCCAACCAGCAGCAGCAGCAACCGCCACTGGTGGAGGAGACTACACTCCAGAAGATCAGCGATATGCGCAGGAAGATCACACGACTGGTGCAGGGGCAGTCCCAGGAGAAGCAGTCGCCAGTCGCACAGCCCGTCAATCGCCGCCATACGACAGAAATCACCAGCTCCTCGATGGGTGCCACGCGATCGCCCAGCGTGGACGGACGTTATGCCAAGTACTTTGGCGTCCAGGAGACGTTCAACTCGACAACGACCGTGTTTAAGACGCAGTCGATGCCGCCACTGATTGTCACCCAGGTGGAGGCCACCAACGAGCATGTGCGCCAGCCGGTGCCCACATCCCTCACGCAGAAGCGTCGCGAGATGCTGAAACGCACGCGTCCCATATCCCTGGACACCTACACGAGTGGATCCATCAGTCCCACAGCGATGCCCAGTCCCAAGAGAGCGCATTCGCCCAGCAATCGGGCAAAGGCCAGCATCTCCAGCTTCGAGGACATTGTGGTGACGCCCCAAGAGCTGAATGCCGCCGGCAAGGACTTTAAGCGTCTTTGCGTCGAGATATTGGACTGAAAAATTGTTACATTTTGGCCAAGTATTCAAAATTCTCCCAATTTTTCCAACACCCCCAATTCCAATTCGAAAATCCCCAAAATTTTATTTTTGCTCTCTTCGTGTGCGTGTGTGTGAGTGCGAGTGTGTGGATTGTGGCGCCTCAGTGTGATAGATGCGCCAGATATACCCCCCCCCCCACAGGAATTCCAAGAAATTTGTTTGCTCTGTAGAAAAAAAAATCCAAATCTGCTTTTAATCTAAGAAACACAACCAAGAAACGCCCTGAAAAACGAAACGAAACTTAAAAAATAAATGTCAAACGAAAACGAAATATATTATTCAATACAAAATGTTAACGATAGCGAAATGTATTTAATCCGCCCCTCGGAGACAGTTTTACTTTGCAGCCAGCCCCCAGAATGGGAAAATCAACCAGTTGAAAGTTATAATCGATCGATGAAAACTGCTTTTGTGCATGCAAACAATTACTTTTTATTTAAATTTAAAAGCGAATTGTACCTTAAACGGCATTATATTATTATATTATATTATTATTATATGGTTATGTATTACATTTATTATTATTATTATTATTGTAATATTTAATTGATGGAAGTTGTTAAACCAAGAAAATAAATCCAAGAATTGTGCTAAAGAATAACGATAGAGAGAGAGAGAATTATACTTAACTAAATGCTGACGCGGAGTAAGTACTGTACCAAGAATGTGCATGAAGAATATCAGTTTGTAATTAATTTGCCTGCCTTTCTTTAAACGGAATGATTTGCTAAGATTATCCTCTTTTTTTCAATGGGCACAAATCCTTTTTCATTACTTTCTAAAACCAAATATGAAACTAATTTCAAACTTATTTTGGGTTCACAGGCAAACAACCCTCCGAACCATTGAAAGGCATCCTCAAGAGCAAACCGTTGGCTGGTCCCATGGGTCGTGGCCTCATGCCCGTGGATCTCAATGCTGAGCTGAAGAATCGCCTGAAACGCTCCACCCATGCCACCGTCTCGAATCTACGCAAGTCGGCAACCACTGCAGATGCCACACGTGCCGATGAGGTGGACAATCCGCAGAGGAACCTGGCGCAAATACTGCGAAATGTGTCCAAGGAGAATGCCAACACCAACACACCGAAGCACGATGATGCCGTGAATCTGGTGAGGAATCTCGCCACGCTGGGACAGTCTCGGGCGGCGGCCAGCGAGGATGTGGCGGCCGGTAATTGTGCCTCGGCATCGGAGGGCGAGAGTTCTGGGGGTCGCGAAATCGAGGCGATTATCAAGAACAGTGCTGTGGCACGACGTCGTCGCCAGCAGCAACAACAACAACAGCAGCAGCAGCAACAGCCACAGCCTCCAGATGGGTGAGTCCATGTCCATGTCATCATTCGCTGCAATTCCCCCCGTGCTGTGCGCTGTGTGTTTGTGCATTAACCAATTACTAAAAAAAACCCCTAAAAACAGCCCCTCCAAGAGATTTGTAAGTGGGAGATTTGAACCCGTTTTTGTGGATCATGGATTTATATATGAATATTTGTATACACACAACGTTTAGACAGCGTCTCTCATACATGCATCAAATGTGTGTGCTTCTCAAGACTGGTTCCAATATGAAACTAAAAATATTTACAATTACTTAATAATGCAAAAAAAAAAAAGAAACAAAGATGGACAACAAAAACTTTTACATTTTTAAAATAGTCAGAGGACACAACAACCGTTCATTTTGTAAATGTTCTGGCATTTTTCACACACACGCGCCACACACTCTTACACACACTTTTGTGTTCGTTTTGTGCGATACTTTTGGCTTTTGATTAAACCAAGATTTTTCCATTATGCAATTAAAAAACAAAAACAAAAAAAGCGTAAACAGTTTCTTAGTCAAAGTGAAGCCCATAGCCAGGAGCTATTATTGGCCACTTAGGCAGCTGCCACACCAGCAACAGCTAAAGCAACAACAACAACCACTACGAGTACGAGTACAACCCCAACAACAACAACCAGAACAACAGCTACAGCCGATGCTGCTGCAACCGAAACATTTTTACAACAATTTTGTTCAACAAAAACACTTTGTATAAAATCTTAAATATCGACTAGAAATTAAGTTCAAATTTGCATTGCTTACAGGCGGCTGTTTTTTTGAGCAAACACTAATACTATACATATATAACAGAACTATACTATATATTTTATTGAAAATTTGTTCAAAACCGAATATTATATATGCCACACACTATATATTTTTACGAGATGCCAAAAAAAGAGCACAGAGAAAAAACCACAAAACAACCAACAAAAATACAAATAAAACGAATAATTAATAAAGTTGAGAGAAATCTACCTATTTAACTGTAGTTTTGCTTGGCCACTAACTGTCCTTTGCCACTAATTTAATAACAAACACTAAAAGCATGTTCACATTTTGCATTCAACTTTGAATTTGAATTCAAATTCAAACGTTTTCCATGTTCCATTTTCGTACACACATGCTCAGTGGCGCCATATTGTTTGGTTTTTAGAACTACATGGTTCTCAGTGGCGCCATGCACATATGATATGGGCGGTGGGTTTTCGTACTACAATCCAGTCAGGGAACTGTGGGACTGGAAACACCGAAACAGCAAAGCTAGAGATGAACGAAACAGCTGTTACGTGAAAAAAAGTTATACAAAAGCAATACAATCCGTAGAACCTTAATAAGTAAGCAATCCCATAAAAAGGAGTTCTGAAAACTAGCCAATCTAGTACCAAATTTATTGATGAATTGGATAAAAGTATTTGTTTAGGGCTGAGAGGGCTAACTAGCTAGTAATATTAAACCGAACATCAAAATCAAGGAATATGAACGCATTTAGCCAGTATATGTGGGGGGCTCACAATATAAACGCAGAAATGAGTCCAGAGAGCGTTTCAAAATTTGATCTCTTTTCAGAGGTGAAGAGAGCGTTTTCGTGGTGACTTTTCGTGGTGTGAGAAACATGTTCTTAACGGGAACGTGTATGGAATGAAGATTCATTATGATACATTTGATTTGTATGGGAAAAAATTCAGCAGCATGTGGAAATGAATTAGCAGCATTGTTCTGCAACCTTGGATCGGAATGAGCAACAATCTGCATACCTTGGGAAAATGGATATTATAGAATAGAGATATTGTTGGTAATTACATGCTCCAATTAATACAGAAACTACTCAGTTATGCAGCTCAGTTTGCAGTTCACGGGTACAAGTAATAGGTATCAGAACCTGGATAAATGTATTTATAAAACTCAAAACATATGCATTAATGGGTAAACAACATCTCAATCTAAGAAAACTGCATTATTAATGTTTCAATGGAGCTTGGAACAATAAATTTAACATCAATTAAAGAAAATACGGTATACAAAAGTCCTTACGCATAGAAGAAACTTGGTTGACCAGCAACACTGACGTCACATTTAGTCAACATTTTCGCTTTATGCTTTGGACGTTTTTGTTTGAGCCTTAATATATAAACAATCCAATGAAAAAGAGTTCTGAAAACTAGCCAATCCTGAACAAAATTTATGTATCTATCGGATAAAATTATTTGTTTACGGCTGAGAGGGCCAACTATCTAGTAATATTAAACTGAATATTAAAATTGACGAATTTCATATCACAAAATATCATGGTATGGCAGCCCACAGCAACTACGAATTACACGAGTCTGGCAACGCCACAAAACGACGTCACATTCGTTTTATGCTGTTTTTGTTCGAACCTTAATATGTAAATAATCCAATAAAAAGAACTTCTGAAAACTTGCCAATCTCTTAAAAAATTTATGTATCTATCGGATAAAATTATTTGTTTAGGGCTGAGATGGCCAACTACCTTGTAATATTAAACGGAATATTAAAATTGATGAATATGATTTTCCTCGGTATGTTTAAGGTATATAATGAAAATGACGTTTCTGAGGTTCCAGTCACACTCGAAAAAACAAATCAAGTGAAATATTTTTTTTTCCAAATATTAAGACACATTTCAAATTGACCGCCAAACTCAATTTAGCGCACCAAAAATACTGACATTTTTCGCTCTCAATTCGTGGAGAGTTTGCAAAAGTCGCTCTCAATTCGTGGAGAGTTTGCAAAATTTGCTCTCAATTCGTGGAGAGTGCTCTCTTTTCAGTGGAGAATAGAGTGTTTTTGTGGAGACTTTCCCCTCATTTTCGTGGTGTGGCAGCATGTTGCTGAAATTTTTCCCATACAAAATCAAATGTATCTTACGGGAACGCGTATGGAATAAAGATTCATTGTTGCGTCATTCCATACGCGTTCCCGTATGATACATTTGATTTGTATGGGAAAAATTTCAGCAACATGGGGAAATGAATTAGCAGCATTGCTGTGCAACTTTGGCACGGAATGAGCAACAATCTGCATACCTTGGGAAAATGGATATTATGGACTTGAGGTATTGTTTGTAATTTCAGGCTCCAATTAATGCAGAAACTACTCAGTCTCTGTTTTCAAGATATTAACGAAATTTGGCAGCTCACGGGTTCCAATAATAGGTATCAGAACCGGGATAAATGAATTTATAAAACACAAAACATTTGCATTAATAGGTGAAAAACATCTGAATCTAAGAAAAACACAATATTAATGTTTCAATGCAGCTTGGAACAACAAATTTCACATTAATTAAAGGAAATAGGGTATACAAAGGTCCATACGCATGCAGATACTTGGTTGACTAGCAACAATGACGGAATGTGACCGGAGTTCACACTCACGTTTTATGCTTTGGCCGTTTTTCTTTGAACCTTTTTATGTAAACAATGCAATGAAAAGGAGCTCTGAAAACTAGCCAATCCCGAACAAAATTTATTGAGGAATTGAATAAAATTTATTATTAAGGGAGGAATGGGCTAACTAGCTAGTAATATTATACCGAATATCAAAATCGAGGAATATCAATGCATATTGTCAAGACCGTCAGTATATTTGCGGTATATTTTGAAAATCACATAGTATATTTCGGTATATTTCTGAGGGTCAGAAGGTATATTTCAGCGATAGATCCGCAGTCACACTGAAAATATACAAACAAAAAAAACAACAGCTGGCACAGGTAGGACGGGTGCGCGCGTGTTTTCGTTTTTAAAGTTCCGTTTTTCGTATTGTGCATGTCCATGTGTGTGTTTTGTTTACGCTGTAATGTCGCGCGGGTTTTTGTGCCGGTCGCAAAAATACTCGAAAGCAGATTGTAAATTGCATTATGCATTATTGATAAATTCGCCATTGCACTGCATTTCCTGAAGCTGCCGCTGCAGCTGCAGTCGCTTCCAATTATTCGAACAATTGCCGCCAATCTAATTGAAAGTGCAAGTGCAAATACAAATACAAATACAGAACACAGTGGCGGACGCGATCAGCGGGAGTCTTGAGAGCAGCTTGTAATATTGCAGCCATAAAAGGTTCGTACAGATTATACATATGTACATATTTATGACCATTGTCCACGGAAAGGTGTGTGTGGTGGAAGAGATGTGCAGAGGGGGGAAGAAGTTCTCAAAGCAGTTTCATCTGCCTCTCCCCGTCTCCCTCTAGCGCGCACACGCTTACCTGCTGCATTGCTGCGGAATTGCAAAGAGCAACAAAAGGCAAGCAGAATGAGCCGAAAAAAAACTGTAAATTGCTGTTTCGCTTCCATTGAAAGATTTTGCGGATTCTCTCCTCTCCCTTTCGTCTCTCGTTATCGCTCCCTTTGCGACGTAGTTTTCGGTACAAATTTAATACCCTGCTCAGAGAGTACTATGATTTTGGATAGATGTTTGCAACGCAGAGCAGGCAGTAACTATAACATAGGTATATTATTGATCAGCATAAACAGGCCAGACTATCCGTATGTTGGTCGGAACGCGATCATCATCAAGAAGGGTACGCATAGGTTCGACCTTCAATCTAGTGTTATTTCCTCTCCTTTTTGTTGCTGTTGCTGTTCACTTGCACTTACAGGGTCGCTCTATAGAGTCCATCTCCCTCTGTCTGCCTGTCTGTCTCTAACTTTTATTTTCGTGTTTGACTCGCTTGAAGAGCAAAATTTGAAGCAAACTTTTGTTTGTTTAGCTGATTTTAATTATGAAGTATTTAAAAGTTGATTGTCTGTCCGAGTTCAAGGTCCCAGCATTCGAATCCACAGATTTAGGCCAGCATTTGCATAAGTTTTCAACAAAATCGAATCAAAAAAGTAAATCCATCAAATCTCAAAAGCCTCCATCAAATGGCTTGCAATTTTGTACATCTAACAATTTGCTTATTATTTATGTTATCAATTGTTCGGGTAGATTGCATAATAACCCTGGAACCAGTCTGACTCGAGATATC